ATATCTTACTATCATTGCAAAGAACATATTGGAAGAATAAATAAATAATTAATTTTAAAACGAACAGTAGTGCTTATTTTATTTATTTGCTACTGACCTCCTGAAACTTTCTAGCATCCACCAGTTTGGGAACCCTTATTGCATAGAATATCTGAGTTTAACGTATTAGAGGAGTAAGTGTTATTTTATTTATTATGTAGAGCTTATATTTTACAGATTTCAGAATAGTTTTCATTGTCGTGCCAACAAATAATTTAATCATTTCAATACATGTATCACGAATTGCTATTTGTCCTGTGAAAAACGTAATCAAAGATTTATCCAGTATTTAATCATTACATTTCTCGTGTCAAAGTATTGGGAGAATTAACGTTTAGAGTTTTCGTGTTTTAAATAAAACCTAAAAGTTTATAACGCTAAAAACAGGGTTTCGATACGCAGGTAGACCATTGTGTTGCCTTGCCCTGAACAACAAACAAACAAAGTTATAAATAAAAAAGTAAAAATATTATACATAGTAATACTGGGACATATACATATATAGAAGGTTGAGCACGTTATATTAGTTAAAACGGCTTTGATTATGCAAATCACGTGCCAACCACAGCCGATATAAATTCGCGGTGGAGCGGAATGTATCAGAACTACATTTTAATATTGTTTAGCATTTTGCGTTTTGTAGGTAGTATGATGCCACCGAACGTTGCTTGATTTTTGGGAAGGGTATGCAACAGTCCTGTCTGAAGTAAAATATTCATACACTCGTACCATAAAGATGTGTTCTTATAGCGGGATTTAGGATTTCCAAAATGGAGATATCTCTTGCACGAAATGGCATCGGAAAACAAAGGAATCTGAATTAATTTGTGCCATGGAACCAGGACCACCCGGAAAGACACCTGAAATAGGTCGTTCCCAACCATAGTAAGTAAAGTGCGGCGTCTTGTAACACGTGAGAAAAACAAAGATCAATGGCAAAAGTCATCCACGTGTTTCAAGCAAAAGCACGCAACATAATTAAGAAGGATCTCTGTCTGGAAAAGCAACATAAGACATGTGCACACAAAATGCTTCCACGATATATCAGTTCAACCACTGCATACCTTAAGAAGCTGGGAAATGAAATAGGCATTGATGCTATTACACTCGAAGAAATACTGGTGAAGTCACTGAACGTAGTGCCTGTGTTTCTACATGTCATTGGACACGGGTGCTGGGAAACCGTCATCCTCGTACAGGATATGGATTATGGAAAATACGCAGTGAAGAGATGTATGCTTTGGACTTGACGGGCTTATGAGGAAACCTTTTGTAATGGAAACTACATGTAAGGCTATTGTTAAGATACGCGGTCGTCAGATAGATCATGACTATACGTGGTGACATGGACAGTAAGGTCGTGGTGAGACTCCAAAACCAGTTTAATATAATATACTCAACGTCTGTATATAGAACGAATGGTTTGTTCTCTTTGGCGAATGGAAGTTCCTGGTATATTTCTGTAATTTAAAACACGGGACAGTTGTCGGATTTCAAAGATAGAAACATGTGATCAATATGTGGACGTAAGTCATTTGTCTGAAAATTTGACTAATTTTAAGATCTTCATTTCATTATTATTTTTAGGCTTTCTAGCATATAATCTAAATAGTTTACAGTATTTGAGTGGACGAGGTAACAATTTTCTAGGTTCTGGAGATTACCCCCCTCTCAGTGACATAGTGGTATGTCTACGGACTTGTACCGCTAGAAACCGGGTTTCGATACCCGTGGTGGGCAGAGCACAGATAGCTCTCTATGTAGCTTTGCGCTTAACTACAATATAAATAAAATTGTTATTAAAAAAATTTATTAAGAAAATTGGGGAACATATCTAAATTTATAGATTTTGTATAAAAAAGGTACAACTGTAGTCAGAACTATTGCTATTACAAATGCCGTTCGGAAATCGAACTTGTGTGGTTAGACAATTTTTCAGTGACAGTATTCTTAGTATGAAGCATTATTTAAAAGAAATATTGTTTAAAATAGATAAGACTGAAAGTTTTATAAAGGCTCATGTAAAAACTATGAGCTATTATTATTTTCGTCATTGATTTTCGCGATATACTCGACATTTCTGTTGTTAGATATTTGAAGAAACGATCGATGATCAAAGAGAAAAATTATGTCGGTGCTTTTTCTTCTTGTGGAGCTGTCATTTTCCTTTGGTGGTTTTCCCAGTTGCTACATAAACAAACGTCAGTTTTTGCAGTCTCAGCGACTGCCATTCGAATCTACGGGCTTACTCTCGTATTTTAACGTAAACCCGTACGTTTCTAAACCAGCGGCTAATTCGTTAATCACACTGAATATTGACAAATACAGGTGAATTTCACGCATCACACCTACATTTACTCGTATCTATTCCCGAAACACATTCATCTGAATAATAAAATACTTTTTGAAGTACATCCCACGTTTTATAAATAACTCACGTCGACGCTTCTTTAACGCCCAGGTTACTCGGAATTGCGTAATGACAGGAGCCGAACGTTTATACGATTCAATAATGCTAAATGCCGTGTGTTATTACGCTTCACTATTCTTGGAATACTTTGATGAAAATCATCTTTGTACAAGCAGATTAAGTAAGAAATCTACGTAAAAGTTAACATGGTGTTGTAGTGGGATTACTGTAGTCCTCATCCAACCGGTATAAATTACACACACATACATATTTATGTTCATTTTCTGTTTTAAGCCTGACGATAGCCGCAGTAAGTCGGTGAAAACGTGTCTATAATATAAAAGTATTTCCTATCAATGACGTGATCAGACTCATTCTTTTTTTAAAAAAGTGTAAATAATATATTCGAATTTTTAATAAGCGCTACCTAACCTGTTTACGGGCCAATTTACATTTGAAGAACATTATAAATCTTTATTTCTTAAATTGATCTGTCCTTGCTTTATACGAAGGCGTACCTGATTATAATAATTTGGTTACAAGTTCAATAAATACTACGCCCTTCATTGGTTAAGCGGTACTTCTGAAGGTTTATAACGCTAAGAATAAGGTATCGAAACCCTATTTTTAGCGTTATAAATTGTTAGTTGTGGTGTTGTACCAATACTAATCCTCGTTTAAACTCAATCGTATTTGGTATTACTACTTCCAAATTCCATCTCTGTGTATCCTAATTGTAAAAATAACGCAACGATGGTGAACTAATTCTATCGACTTGGACAAGAATGAAGATTATAATTTACGCGCTTCATTAGAGCCGTTGTACGCCGATGTTAATTTTTCATAATATTCTATACATTTGAATCCTGTTTATACGGATTTACAGATCAAGCGTTTTTTCTTTTCTTTTTATGTAACAGCGTTTCACCAGATTAACCTAGCATCATCATACATGATTAGAACAGAAACAAATTTAAACTGAAGGAAACATGTGAGCATCTAAAGTGACGTACCAAATGATTATAACAAACAATGCTATTTAAACAAAATATTTGTTTAAATGTAACAATATGCTTTATTCTGCCCATAGCATGAATTTTTCGCTGTGATTGGCCGAAAGCACATCACGTGGTATGAAATATTTTAAATATTCCTCAGTTGTCATTCGTGCTTCATTTCGCAGCAGAAGTTTGCAGACGATAACTTTGCAGCACTGTGAAAATACGCTGATTCAATTTAGGCCTAATTACAAACAATTTGCTGAAACCCCTAAAAATAAAATGTATGCAGAAATATCTTATGGCGTAAGGTTTCAGCTATTCACAGATGAAGAAAGCAGACTCGTTTAAGCCTAGTTTACAAACAACGTCGGAAATCTCGCCAACCATTTAGGCAAAATTTGTGCTGAAGTTAGACAGGGGCGTAAATTATGCGTTTATTGGTATGATCTCACGATGATGGGCTTCATATTGTGAAAAATAAAATAATTTCTAAATCTTAGTGATTTATTACATGAGATCAAAATCTTCAATGAAATGATAAACTTTAATATTTACATGTAAACCCAGGGATGTAAACTAAATGATTAATCAGATTTTAGTAAAATTGAAAAACAGAAGAAAGGGGATAGAATAAAACATTTATTGATTGGAGAGTTTAGGCAACAGATCGTTTGGTGTTCTCATAACCAGTCAACAACTGTTCATTAACATATATCAAATTACTTCGCATTTACAGCGAGACATTGCTTAGAATAGTGGAGACTCTTCTGATTCAACAAAAGAAGCCAGAGGAGAATAACCATCAAAATGCTACAGAACATTTATTAATAATTTAAGGTATTTGAAAGTTTCAGTTATGTTTCGATTACATCACACGCATGCGCATTACAGTCAAAGGAATGGGATTTGAAGTGTTCTGGACTGTTGCTAGATGTTACAGCTGTGTAAGAAGAGTGTATGGAAAATCAAGTTTTTGTCTGTTGTTATATGGGCTATATGCAAGCCGCGGGTATCGAAACACGATTTTTAGTGTTATTAGTCCTTAGATTTACCACTGATCCACGAAAGGGAAAATGAAGAAACGTTGACTGTTGCTAGATGTTACAGTCGGTGGAAGACGCGTGCATTTAATGTCCTGGAATGGTAACACAAATACAACTTATTAGATATTTTAGATTTTTTATGGTTATTCGAAATCCTAGAAAATGTATGAATATGTATTTTATGATCCAAAATGAAGCATTTTGTGTATATAAAAAAAAGTGTTAAAAGTGAACCCAGGAAAGAATTGATTATGTCCATGCCTAGCTCAAGAACCGGTTAGACGAATAATGCATACCTCTACATATAGTAGTATAGAACAAGTTAGCTAACAATACCCTTGTTTAATATTATTGCGTTTGTCAGGATGAAGCGATGGAGCACCAGCATGAAGCCGCATCTTGTTCGGAGCGTAACCCATGCGTTTAGTGGTTGTACGTACTGCGCATGATCAAGAGTGTTAGTATAGTAAGCTAGCTCGCCCACCAGACGACGAGGTTCGCTGATCGAGCTTGACTAGAGATATACAATAACGACAGTTCTCTCGTTCGAATGTTAGTTTAGTTTCCTTGGCTTAGGTCATAATTACACTTAAACTGAGAAGAAATAGGAAGATATTTCTACACTGTTTTTGTACATTTATGCCAGAAAATATTATAGTTTCCGCATACTGATTCTGTCTTACTAATGATCATTAGAAGTTACCGGTAGTGCTGGCGTTGCAAGTTATTTCATGTGTAACGTTACGGTGCGAAACGATTGGTTCTCTATGTATGTGGCAGTCTCAAAGGTAAGATATAACCTAACTTGGCTATGTTAGATGATCATTACTTAAATTTATATAAAAACACTTAGTTCATAACTTGAAATTCTCTTAGCAATTATTATACACTTCTGTGACGAATAGTGTCGATTAGAAAGTTGTTACAGATGAAACAAAACAGTTGTTTTTAAAGCTTTGAGAGTAGTGAATCGCATGCGACTCGATTACGAGTGAATAAACTGGAAAAATCAGAATTTGAAACAGATCCTAAGTGTATGTTTTCAGTTTGTCTGAATTGGTATATATTTACTCAAAAATCCACATATTTATCTGTTTAATTACTTAACTATCTGTCCCCCGTTGGGACAGCGGTAAGTTTACGGACTTAAACGCTAAAACCCAGGGTTCTATTCCCCGCCAACAGAAAGCCCAATGAGGCTTTGCTCTAAAAAAATAACTTAACTATCTATTTGTATTTCCGCCCGTTTTTCTGGTCCCCCGGCGTTAAGTCAGAAGGCTTATTAACACTAAAGACCGGCTTTCAATACGTGTCATTGGCACAGCACAAATAGCTCATTCTACATCTCTGTGCTTAACAAGAACAAAAGAGTTTTATGTCTTTTTTCCAACTGCTGTAAGGTGACATTTATTTTACTTATTTTTATGGTGATAAGAAAAATCTTATATTCTGTGGTGAAAATATTCAGTGATTATTTTCACCAAATAATTTAAAGGAACCAACCAGAAGGAGAGATCTAATCTAGTACAATATGCTATAATATGTCAATCATATTACATCTCCAACATCCAGTGCTGACGAGGACTTTCGTCCAGTACCAAGGCTCATCAGGCCGTCTGGGATACGTCAGACATGAAATAGTCTAGACTAAATATACATATATATATATATATACGTATGTCATCAGTTTCCCCGAACAGCAACAACTGTTAGGGTGTGAATCATTATAAGCAACGAAACTGCAGTCATTATGAGTTTTATTCAAGTAATGTATAAATCAGACTTATAGGGTAAGAATTAGTTATACAACATTATTTATTCTATTTATAGTTTATAACTGATTATTTATATTTATAATTATTATTTTATTTCTATTTTAACCAACTTCCCTCTCACAGTTTTGAAGCCAAGTTTTGTGTCATGTAAACGCAGAGAGAGTAGATCTAATTTGGATGATTTTTGTTGGAATAGGTAATTCGTTTTTGACTGCTAGTAAAAAATTAGAACTTCGGCAAATTATTATGTTGCTGTTAAGAACAAATGTACAAGTAAAAGTAGGATTATTCGAACTGCTTTATCAAACTACCTGGCCCGGCATGGCCAGGTGGATAAGGCGCTCGACTCACAATCTGAGGGTCGCGGGTTCGAATCCCCAT